TCTTTGAATACATTTTTATAGAGTGAGAACAATTCTAGCATTTATCTCATCAGAGCCCACCCGTGTCCCACATACCACAGCCAGCTTCCCGAGGCATCTGTCAATGTGCCATAATAAAAAATAAATATTTGGGGAACCAGCAGTTAGCGTAATGGCTATGTCGCTGGACTCCCACGTAGTCGACCGCGGTTCGTGTCCTGGACCCGGTGGCTTAAAACTCACGCCGGGCGCGTGTGCGTGCGTTGTGCGTGCATGCCCAAGATCCCGAGAGGAGAATGGAGGAGAAGGGATTGCGGTGTGACTATCCACCCTGGGGGGTGATTTCTCGCTTTCTGTCTCTCTGTCTCTCTCTGTCTGTCTGGCGAGCACACGCGCCCTACAGTGAAAATCTCTCCAAAAAAAAAAAAATTTGGTATTTGTCTCTGGCTCTTGGCACACAGATCCTAAAATCCTAGGGCTTTCTGAAGTAATAAGATGATTAGTATCTTAAAAAAAATCTTTTCAACATTTATTTCATGGGAGAGAGAGTCAGAAAGAGAGAGAGAACTCCCAACAGAGTCTTTGCATCACAGACCACCCCAGCCTTAGCCAGTCAGGATCATGGGATATGAATGCACCTGGTGTGCACAGGGAGTTCTCAGGATGCAAACCTGGGACCTTCTCACATGGGTCCAGCATCATAGAGCCTTGTGTCACCTCTATGCTACTGCAGCTGGCCATGAGTGTCTTTTTGTATGCTAATGAGATGACTGAGGCTGAGGAGTCCTTGACAACTTCAGGATGGGAGCTGGCTGCTGGAAAGTACGTAGTTCAATTAGAAGGTTGGAATTTTCAACATCTTTTTTAAATTTACATTTATTTATTTACATTCATTCACTATGCATCATTACAGCATTCAAAATGATATTTCACATCCAGAATACACTGTATATTGGCTCAATCAAGCACATCAACATACATGTTATCGTCAACAAATAATTTGCCATTTCTTGTTTCCTGTATATTTTGCTTTTATTTCCCATCCTCGATTCCCTATCTTGCACCCTCTGCCATGTACCACCTTCCTCCCACACTGTCTCTGGTATCCATGGTTGCTTTCTATGCCTCCCCCCCCATTTTATTGATTTGATAATGAACTTAATTAATCTAAATATTTCCAATAGCAAGCACAGCTGATATTCAACCTCACCCTCTGCCACATCTATCCAGGGAGGGGAGATGGGTTGGAGATTGCGTTACTCACCAATGGGCAATGATTTACTCAACCATGACCACACAATGAAACCTCTAATAAAGATCTCAAATGATAGGATTCAGTAAGCTTTATGCTATCTGAATACAGTGAGATGCTGGGAGCATGGCACACCCAGAAAGGCTACAGGAACTCTGCACTTCCCCTTCCAGTACTGGGCCCTGTGCATTTCTTTCATTTAGCCATCCTGAGTTGTATCCTTTATAATAAACCAATAATAGTAATTAAAGCACTTTCCTGAGCTCTGTGAGTCATTCTAGCAAATTATTTAACTGGAGGAGAGGATCATGGGAGCCTCTGACTTTGTACTCAGATTGGACAGAAATATGGGTAACTTGTGGACCAAATATTCGAGACTAGCATCTAGAGTGAGGACAGTCTTATGGGACTGAGTCCTTAAAACTGTGGTGTCTGATTATATCTTTGGGCAGTTAGTGTCAGCATTGAATTGAATTGCTGGAAACTCAGGTAGATTTGGAGAGTTGGAGATACGGTGTGGAAAAGATCAAGTATTTGGTGTCAGGAGGTAAACAGATTTTCTCCAAATCCCCAAAACACAAACCCCTTCTTACATGGTGTCAAAAATGCCACGAGTGTAAATAGCTCAGCCAGTAACCTGGACAAGCTTGAAAGTCATACCCTTGTTCTCCAGAGGCTCATCTGGAAATACCCTTTGCAGGGTCTGCACCAGCCCCCTGAGTAGATGTGAAAGGGCCTGGTTATCCTTACATGGAGATATAAACAAATCGACACTGTTTCACCAGCTGACCCCATTCTGGTGTAGCACTTGTATTAGCACAGTAGTGGCTATGGGGAACCTGAAGATGACTGAGAGCTGCTGTTACAATTTGTCTGGAAATCTGTACTTGTCCTCAGGACTACGAATTCTTGCTCTCTCATGCTTCTTAAGTGCCTGATGTGTGCTTATTTAGTTTTTCTTTTTAAGAAAGATTTTTGCTATAGGGCACATGTACTTGCCAGAGACATAGAGAGAGACAAAGAGAAAAAGCAAAAAATCACCCCCAGGGGGGATGGCCATGCCACATTCCCTTTTCCTCCATTCTCCTTTCAGGATTTTGGGCATGCATGCACATATATGGCATGAATTTGAAGTCTCTGGGTCCGGGACTTGAACTAACCATTGTCAACCATGTGGGAGTCCAGTGCCTTAACTACTGTATATTTGCTGGCCCCCAACATATGCTTATTAATCTTAGGTAACCCCCGCCGCCTCGTCTCCATACCCTATGCATTGTATGCGTGTGTCAGCTTCCTTACCCACTAGCAGTGCTTCGCGTTCAGATTTGATAGGACTGCTGTTCATGGTCTTCTCAAGAGGGTAGTCACTATCCTGGTTTGATGCACACAGTCTAGAAGAACAGCTTTCCTGGGGAAATAACATGTATCCTGGGTCAGTTCAGTTCACCTAATTTGGCAATAGAGATGGTTTCAATTAACGATAAAACAAGAGTAACTTTTTTTTTGTAGGACGTACCAAGGTATTTATTTATTTTCTTTCTTTTATTATTATTATTTACATTCAATCACTGTATGTCTTTATGGCATACAAGCAATACTATCCAGTTTGGATTACTGAATGGGAAGGAAAATAGCATAAATTATAAAAGCATGACAGATAATCCAAATCTTCTTTACATGGCTTCAAAACAGAAGAATTTAAGTATTTATCTTCAACTTTTCCCCCCCACATTCATCATTCATTTGTGTTTGTGTGTGGGAGGAAAGGGTAGTGTTTTCTTGTAAGACAGGGCTTCTGTGTTGCAAGGTATCTCTGTCCTGCTTCATCCTCCAGTAGCTGGGACCATATGTGGATACCACCACACCTGGCTTTTTAGAGTGAGCCAAAGCATCAAACTTGGGCCTCCCATGTGGCCTCAGCCTCCCAAGCAGCAACATCCAGGGAATGCTACTATGGCTGAGCCTACCTTCACCATTCTCATTGTACAAGTAATCTGGGGAATCACATCCAACATTTATTGTCTACTAATTAGATGCCAGGAACTATTAGACATGTATTATCTCCAATGTACAGGTAAAGAAACTGAGGCTTAGATAATTTAGGCAAATTGATGTAGATCATATTGCGCAGAAGTGGTAGAGCCAGGATTTCATCCCAGGCCGTCCACTGTTAAAAAGAATCATTAAAAAAATTGGTAGGTCCACATTCTGCTAATGGTAAGTCCCAACCTAGATGGAAACTCTACAATGGAGCCAATCCACTCAACCATTGGCTTTCTAGTAAAAATTAGAGCCTCTATCTATTGGCTAGCAGGTATTTCCCTTTCTGTCTGGTAAAGACATTATCACTTAGAATATTCCTGACTTCACAGCAAGAAATGACCATGACCACAAATATCACTAGACAGTGGCCATCTTTGTTGTTGAAAGTTTTTCTCTTTCTAAGCGTTGCAGGGTTCTTAAGAGATACTCAGGTAAAATCTATGACCAGCAATCAGACTGAAAAATACCTCCAGGCCATGCATGGATCTTTCTTTTTCTGTTTGGGTACTGAGAACATCTTTTCTGTATTATAAATGTGCAGGAAGAGCCTTCAGAAGAACGAATAAAAGAAATCACTGCTTTGCTCTCACTGTTTCAACCTTTTACTGCTGTAAAAGAAAATGCTGGGAAATGCTCCTTGGGGGCAGATCATGGCTGACTCAGATGCTTTGTCACTTCTTCCCTTCCGTAAGCCCTCAGCTGGGACAGGATTCCTTCTGTTTTCTTTAAAGATATCTTCAAAGCTTCCAGGATGCTGTCTCTGAATGAAATGGTCTATGCTGCAAGACATGTTGTTTCATAGATTTACAGGTTCCCTGGCTGCACGCAGAGGGGAACCCCTTCTAGATGACCTACTCAATCTTTGGCCTTTAGAATCTAGTCCAGGCAGTAACCATTATGCCAAGTTTGATTTAAACTATTGGCTCAGTTCTAAGCCACAGGCTTCACATCTGCTTCTCACCCCTTAAAACATTAAATGATCCAGTAAGCCATTTCTTAAGTGTGAGGGTTTAACAGATTGGGGTTGACTTAAGATCTGAAGTTATCCTAAGAAGTTTTAGCTATCATGAATAGAACTGTAGTCTTACTGAAACCTGACTTCAATTTTATTAGAGCTGGCATTTTAAAAATTAGAAGGTATACTAAGGGGATGCTTATCACTTTGAATTTGACTAGCAGACTCAAATAGCTAGTTCTTTCCATGGTAAGACAGACATAAGTCACATTGTTGTATTATAAAACACTGACAATAACTCACACTATGGCTTACTGTCAAGAAACCCAAACAAAAACAACGATAACAAAAGATCCCTTCTCATGAAAACTTATTGCTTTCCTTTCAACCTGAAATTATTTTGCAGTCTAATTTGATGGTACTTTTGCTTCCTAACCTAATTGTGTCAGGTTGAAATATTTGGTCACAAATCAGCTTCCAGAGAAGATCAGTTTATAATGAACTGTCATGAATTTCTCTAAAAGAAGCTTTGCCTAAAATAACAGGAAAAAAACATATTCTGACTCCATTTCTTTTGATTATCATTGGATCTCACTCCCTGTCCTCTATAGCTGCCACCTCATGGTATATTCAATTTCAGAATGGGAAACACTTATCCTTAGGCACAATATAGCAAGTCTCTTCTATGCCATTTGACCTCTTGCTTCTGTAAATACTTTACAAAGCTGAAAGCTGCTTATACTAAAAATGCCCTTACGTCAATTTGTAATGTCATTCCTAAAGAGTGATGCTAAGCATGATGACATTAGCATAACCCCACATCTATCTGGAGTCTTCTGGCTATACACACTATTGCATGCAGGAAGCAAAACAGCCATGTGGCAGCTCTGGGACATTTTAGAAGCTCTGATAGTATAAGGAAAGTCCTGATAAGCTTTGTCCCATTTCAATTAAATCCTTGATAAATGAATTTCTCTGGGATTGTGATAGTTTCTTTAATAGTACCCACAAAACCGAAAAGTGAGTTGGTTTTATGAAGTGGAAGAATTAAAAGCATATTGCAAATGGCCTCTGGAAGAAAACACTTTCAATCATTTATTTCAACAAAACCAAGCTTGCCAGTTCTTAATGGTACTCTGGGGGAAGTCACTGTGTTGGTAAACACATCCAGGGCCTGAGCTGAGCACAGAAGATAAAGAACATAAGCTCTTGAGGAATGGTATCATTACTGATTTCTGCTTTTTGGTCCAAGTTCCTAATCTTCTCTGCCTTTGGTGACATTAAAACCAGGAAGTTCTGGTCAATACATTTCCTTTTCAGAGGATAACTTCAGCTGTACCTTCAAGCATAAAGGAAATGGAGAGGTATGACATGGAAACACCCATTGGTAGACTTTATGCACCTTAAGTAGACTAGGCACTTGATGCCTGGTTGTTATACACTAATTTATGCAGTTGTCAGTAGACTCTTCTAGAGGTGGTATTTTTTACTGCAGGCTTTCACTTGCTAAGTCCCATCTGGCCTTCCCTTTCCCTATTATCTAGTTTTAGAATACTGTGGCTCCTTGTTTCTTTCCAAGGTTTCTCACCTTTTGGTGTTGGCTATTACTCTCACACTAGATGGAATGTGTCTGCAAAAAAAATGTCCACATGCTAGTTGCACTTGAGTTTCTTCCTCTAACGAAATGCTCACCTAAGAGTATTTGTGTCACATGAGTTTTCTATGTTGTTATTTGCTTGATAAGATGAAGCAGGGAAAGGTGAACACTCTAATCTTTTCTCTTGCTCTCTTTGTTGACTAGATGGTGCATGTGCTCACCAGAGAGGAGAAAGGGAGAGGAGAAAACACCCTCCTCCCCACCATGGGGAGTGGTCACGCCACATCTCTTCTTTATCTTCCCCTCCTTTCGGGATTTTGGGTATGCACGCATTCGTGAACCATGTTTCTCAAGCCGCTGGGTCCAGGACTCAAACCATGTGGTTAGCCACGTGGAATCCAGCTGTCCCAATCGCCAGGTCATGGAGCTGGCCCTCTGGTCTTCTCTAAGAGGAAAGACTAAGTAACTTTAGCAATGGATGGACCTCTTATTGATTGAAAAGTATACTATCAGGACCAGCAGATGGTATAATGGTTACGTTGTTGGACTCACACACAGTCGACTGCGGTTTGAGTCCCGGACCCAGTGACTTAAAATTCACACTGGCTGTGTGTGCATAAGTGTCCCAAATCATAAGAGAATGGAGGAGGAGGGACTACTATGTGGCCTTCTTCCCAGGGGTTGATTTCTCGCTTTCTGTCTCTCCAGTGAGTGTATGTGCCCTATGGCAAAAATAATCTATCTGAAAAAAAAAAAAAGAAAAGAAAAAATACATTCTCCAAAACTCTTAGAAATGACAAGGATTCATGCTTAAAAGCAGAACTCTTAATATAAGAATTACCCAGGAGGCAGCTTTTATTTTAACCTCCAGTCAGTCGATTGTTCCACATTGATTCTTATTGCAGTAGCTTTCAGGGTATTTTAATTGTCAAGAAAGGGAGAAAAGAGGCAAGGAAAACATTCACGTAGGATTCATATACCTTTTCTTTAAGATTTTCCAACATTTTTTCCACTTGCAACTTGTCGTCTTTAATTTTTTCAAGTTCAGCTTCTTTCCTTTTGTATTCCTCTTGGACTTTGAGTAGATGCTACAAGAAAGACAGTCACTAATTAAGAAACCATACTTCACCTAAAAACCCTGGCTGAGATTAGATATCACAAGGGCCTACCTCACTTTCCCCCGGCATATACAGTAGTTTTATCATGCAGATTGGTTAAATCAAGATACTTTTCACTTTACGTTATTTTTTTCTGACTCTCATGAATTTCCTTTGAGTTTGCTCATATTTTACAAAGGGCCTGAAAAGCTAACTGATGTAGTCATTTCACTTCTTCCCTATTCTGGTCAGGGATAAGATAAAATATCTAATTCTATGTGGGCAATATCTTGATTGGTGCATGGAAATGACCTTAATATTGTAAAGCATTCTTGTGAGTACCCATCTGCCAAATCAAGTTCAATTGCTATGAGGAAAGTAGTAAAGAATCCAAATTTCACATATATTAATTTCCATATCAGTAGAGAGGGAGCTGGATTTATCATTCTTTTTTTTTTTTTTTTGGAGAGGTTTTTGCTATAGGGTACATGTGCTCACCAGAAAGACACAGAGAGACAGAAAGTGAGAAATCACCCCCCAGGAGGGATGGCCATGTCGCAATCCCTTCTCCTCCATTCTTCTTTCAGGATCTTGGGCACACATGCACACGCGCCGGGCTTGAGTTTAAGTCACCGGGTCCGGGATGCGAACTGCGGTCGACTACATGGTAGTCCAGTGACATAGCCATTATGCTAACTAGTGGTCCCGGATTTATCATTCTTAATAATTACAGCAAATACTATTTATTGAGCCCTTAATATCTGCTAAGGGTTTTGGAAGTGTGTTCTTTTTTAAGCCTCACAGTAACCCAATAATACTATTATCTCTGAGAGGCAGAGAGGCTAAGTGGCTTCCCTAAGGTCATTAAGATAGTACATTGGAGAACTAGAAGTTAAAATAATTCGGGTTCCCCCAGTGTCCATGTTCTCAATCACCATGTTTTCTTTAAGTTAATTTATTCAGGATAGAGAGTAGATGTGCATGCAAGAGAGTGAGACAGTGAGAGAATGAGAGAGCAAGACAGAGAGAGAGAGAGAAGCACTCTCAATAGGATCTGGTTATACTATGATCCCCTTTCCCAGCCCTCTAGCTTGTCAGAATCTTGGGCATACCTGTGTACCTGGCGTGTTTCAGGTCAACTGGGCCAGGGAACTGAACTTGCCCTTGGCCATATGGATTCCAGTAATGGCATTTCAGTTTCCTACCTACTGCACCACCAGGATGCACCCCATCTTATGTGATACATTTTTTGGGATAAGATAGGATATATATATATATTTTTAAGTTCTGCTATAGGGCACAAGCACTTGCCAGACAAAGAGAGGGGTGTTGGGGAGTGAGAAATCACCCCCCAGGGGGGGTTAACCACATCATAATCCCTTCTCCTCCATTCTCCTCTCAGGATTTTGGGTATGCATGAACACATGTCCAGAGGTGTTTCTCAAGCTGCTGGGTCCAGGACTCAAACTGCACAATTGGCCATGTGGGATCCAGTTGCCTCAACCTCCATGCCATCTACTGGTCTTGGGGGAACTTAAAGCGAGTGCCCTCACCCGCCTCAACCACCACACCACTGGCTGGCCCAAGATAGGAGCAATTTTGTGATTGTTTACAAGGATATTTTTCTAATAAAAAGTAATGAAAAGAGGTGAAATTTTTTTTTTTTGAGGTGGAAACCTAATCTCACTGAAGTCTTTGAAGTGATGAGATAAAACAGTTAATCAATTTCAAATTGCATTTAACAAAAAAACCCTACCCTTTATGTGGGATAGTTTCAAATTCAGGGTAAGAGGGGGAAAAACAACAAAAATGTTTCCAAATCTTGCTTTTCAGAGGCTTTTAAAAGGCCATTGGCAGAGCTAAAAAAAATCATGGCACAACATACACTGTCAAAGTTCTTTGAAGTCTAACTGAGGATATGCAATTTTTGGTAGAATGATCTCTGATATAATTTACATGTTCTAATTAAACTTTGTAGTGACAGTAAAAGGAGGGTAAGCATTACTTCACACATTTTGCTATTAGAAAAGGTGAAATATTAATGTGATATTACTTGTCACGCAGAAAGACAATGGTGGCAGAAGTAATAACACAAGTTCCTAGTGCTAGAAGAGACTCTCTGTTCATAATTTGAATTTTTGCTTTCCAGCCAGCAATTAGCTTTGCCCTAGATAATTCCAAGGCATATGGGAAAAAAAAAAGATTGCACAATTTAATTTTTAAGGAAAATAGCTGGTAGTCTGGCATGACAGGAAAGGATAGTACCCTTATTTAGAAGCACTACTCTTTTACTGTAGTGAAAGCAGATGTAGATATCTTTTAAACTGTAGGCTGCCTGTGCTGATGGTTACATAAAACTTCTAGATATTGAGCAATTATTAGTGTTGTATCTGAATGCAGCTGCAATTGGATATACTTATTTCTTTTACTTTTTTTGGAGAGATTTTTGTCTTACGGTGCATGCGCTCACCAGAAAGAGAGAGACAGAGACAGAGACAGTGAGAGAGAAAGTGAGAAATGACCCCCGGGGGGATGGCCACACCACAATCCTTTCTCCTCCATTTTCCTCCTGGGATCTTGGACATGCATGCATACACGTCTGATGTGAGTTTCAAGCCACCGGGTCTGAGACTTGAACTGTAGTTGGCCATGTGGGAGTCTAGTGACCTAACCACTGTGCCATCTGCTGGCCCCTACTTTAATTTTTATACTTGGAATTATAATTCACATAAATGACTATCCAAACCAAATAAAAACAAATTGCTATTTGTACCCAAAGCATTTATACTTAAAAATCCATCACACTCTCACTTCAACCCAAATCAAGGGTCGGATCCCTGCCATTCCTTCTATAAGGCTGTATTAGTTGGCATTCTATCAACTAGACACTTATTTATCAGCACTTTTTTTATGTCCAGATAATTAAGGTTCTTCATAAGGACCCTGAGGCCCTGTCTACATCCCAAAATATCTTCTGAAGAATAAAGGAAAAATTAGATTGTATTCAGTACACATTTTAAAAGAGGTTTTTGCCTTAGGGCTTGTGTGCTTGTCAGAGAGAGAGAGACAGAGACAGAGACAGTAGGGGAAAGTGAGAAATCACCCCCAGAGGTGGTTGGCCATGCTGCAATTCCTTCTCCATTTTCCTCCTAGGATCTTGGGCATGCACACACATGTGCCTGGAGTGAGTTTCAAACCATCAGATCTGGAACTCAAACCACTGTGGGAGTCCAGTGACATAACCACTAAGCCATTTACTGGCTCCCAGTATAGTTTTAAAATGTTAGTGTTTTTCACTAAATGCCCTTTCTCTGAAAAATTGGTGATCCATGTCTATCTCTGCACTAACCAGACTATTTAATTAACCTATCCTCAGCCATACCAGAGAATATAATTCCAAGATTAGCCAGTCTGATATTCTATTTACTTTCAGGAGACTGTTTCACAGGTAAGAAGCTGATGCTATTCTTCCAAAAAGGCCAGAAAACCAGAATGCCTTCACCTGTTGCATTCCTTGCAGGGCTTGCTGCAGAAGTTTCAGCTGCTGTTCCTTGTTTGGGTCATCTTCTCTGTGGGCTTTGCCCTGTTCTTGCTTGAGCAGTTCTACCTCATTCCGATAGGCATCAAGCTGCCAACGGAGGCTGTCATTTTCTTCCTTCAGAGCTTCTGCCTGTGATACTAAGGCTGAACAATCAACAGAAAATTCTGTTATCATTTTTAATTGCCAAAGAATAGGTGTGCTTTCCAGAGAGAGAGATAGAGGGAGAAAGCACTCCTCAATGGGATATAGTCACTTCAGAATCTCTTCTCCTCCATTTCTCCATTCCACTGAGATTTTTGGAATGCATGCACACGTACCTGACATGTTTTTTTTTAAGCTGCTGGACCTGAGATTTGAACTTGTGGTTGGTAGTGTGGGATCCAGTTCTCTTAACCACTAGGCCATGGGGCTAGCCCAATCAATGTAAAATATTATCCCATGTGTCCAGATTCCTTTGTGGTTCACCTGAGTATCATAAAAACCTTGGTACTTTAAATGGACATGTACAGAAAACCTCTTGATGAGGAACTTTGGGTCTGAGTTGACCATAGCAGCATGAGATGCACACAAAAGCACATGGGTCAACTTCTGTAAATGAACCAGGATTCCAGCACAAAAAAGTCCTCCTCATAGTTCAGATTTTCCATTCCAAATATAACTAACATATTTCCAGGTAGCACTGGTTACTTTTTTAAAAAAATATTTATTTCTTTAGAGAGAGAGAGACAGGCACACAGGCACACACATGCACACGTGCACACACACACCCAGCAGGGTGTTGGTGCCACAATCCACCCCTGGCTTCACCCAGCCAGGATCGTGGGCACATGTGTGTGCACCTGGCATGTACAAGAAGACCTTGGGATGTGACTCCAGGACCCTCTTATGTGACTTTGGCATTGTGAAACATTGTGCTACTGCTGCGCCACCACAGTTGGCCATCAGTTACTTTATTTGGAATGCAGCAAATGATAAAATCTCTGTGTAATAAAATACAGGACTAATTGCCTTGGACTAAAACCATATACACAACAATTTTGTCAAAAGATATTTTAAAAGAATATAGCATTGACTAGTCGTACAGAGGAAAGGTAAAAGTAAAAAACTAAGAAGATTTGGAGGTTTGGGCCCAGCATGGAAGGAGCTTAGAGGTTGCCACTTTGTCTCAGCATCAAGTAAAAAGCTGAGCAAACCAAACATCAACAACTCTTCTTATATTTATCAAAGAAGTGAGTCTATGAGTTTAACTGTTTTCCCCCTCCTGATCTGAGCTATAGACAGGTGAATATAGAGAATCACAACTAACCAGACTAAAAACCCTTGAGGAGAAACCCCTCTGGGAGCCAGTGCCAGAGTAGGAAAACTTTAAGTGTAATTGATGAATTGTTAGAGGTTCAGTGTTGGCAAGTCTATGAGTTAAAAAACTCCCAGGGGGCCCAGTCATAGGGAGCCTCCAGCTTTTTATGACTTTTATCTCTAGGAGATTTACCACATCCTTACAGTGACTGGCAGAGGAAACAACATCATCATTCTGGCAAAGGGAGGGAAAAATGAACCGTTTTGAAATTTGAAATACCATAGTGTTTTATCTTTTTTACCAAGGGCTGCCTGCAGAAAAATATGTTTTTCCCAGAGTCTAATGTGCTAGAGTTTTGTTTGTTTGCTTTTGGAGAGGTTTTTGCTATAGGGCACATATGCTTGCCAGAAAGACAGAGAGAGAGACAGAGACAGATAGACAGAAAGTGAGAAATCACTCCCTGGAGGGATGGCCATGCTGCAATCCCTTCTCCAGGGATCTTTGGCATGCATGCACACATGCCCGATGTGAGCTTGAACCATTGCGTCCAGGACTCGAACCGCGGTTGACTATGTGGGAGTCCAGTGGCATAGCCATTAACGCCAACTGCTGGTCCCCGTGTTAACAGTTTTAAAAGAGCCTAGTAGACCTGGGGGATGAGAAATACCTAACTCCAGCCACTCCTCTCCCCAGCCATCCCATCCCACATAAGGTAGTTGGGAACAAAACTGAGAAGCATTGGTGAACACAGTCCATGGCACAGGCTCATCAGAAGACTGAGACCAAATAATACAACTAGAGAATATTTCCTTTCCCCCACACCTTACCATTATACAAACGAAGGCCTATTCACTAAGTTCCTTTTACCCAGTATACCATGTACAAGTTCTAACAACAACAACAAAAATCACAAGGCATACTAAATGGCAAAAATAACACAGTTTGAAAAGACAGAGTAAATATCAGAACGAGATTTTGATATGGCAGGGATGTTGGAATTATCAGACTGGGAATTAAAAAAACAAACCAGCCAATATATAATTAATATGCAAAGAGCTTTAATGGAAAAAGTATGAGACATGCAATAACAGATGGATAGGATAAGTAGAGAGGTGAGAATTCTAAGGAAGAATAAAAAAGAAATGTGAGTGATTAAAAATACTAATAGAAAGGACTGCCTTTGATGGGCTCGTTAGCAGACTGGCAGAATCTCTGAGCTTTAGTATATGACAAAAATTCCTACAACTGAAAATCTATTTTAGTCCATTTGGGCTGCTATAACAAAATACCACAAACTGGATAGCTTAAAAACAATAAAAATTTATTTCTCACAGTTTTAGAAGCTGAGAAGTCCAAGATCAAGGGACTGCTAGATCCAGCCTCTGAAAGGAATGTTTCCTGGTTTACATATGGCACCTCCTAGCTAAGTCCACACATCTTGGGATGGGGGGCAAGGTGACTCTTTAATCTCTTTTACAATGGCACTAATCCCATTCATGAAGAGTCTACCTTTGCGACCTAAGCACCTCCCAAAGGCCCTACTTCCTAGTAGCATCACATTAATGATTAGGTTTCAACATATAAATTTTGAGGAGAAAAAAATTCAGACCATGGCAAAAGCAAAGAGAAGAAATATTGAAAAACAAAACAAAAACAAGCAAAAACCTCCATATAACAGAATATCCAAGAACTATGGGATAACTACAAAAGGTACAAACATGTGCGATGAGACTACCAGTAGGAGAAGAAAGAAACAGAAGAGTATTTGAAACAATGATGACTGAGAATTTCCCCAAATTGATCTCAGACCCAAACCACATATCTAGAAATCTCAGAGAACACCAAGCAGAATAAATGCACAAATAAACAATCAGTTGAACAAACAAAAAACTACACCTAGGCATATCATATTCAAACTTCAAAAAATCGAAAGAAAGAAATATTGAAAGAACACAGAGAAAAAATATCGTAACATAGAGAAGAACAAATATAAACATTATATCTGAACTCTTAGAAACCTGTAAATTGGAAGAGTGTGAAGTTGAAATATTTAAAAGGTTAAGAGATAAATATCCCACCAACCTAGAATTCTGTACCCCATGAAATTATCCTAGAAAATGAAGGAGAAACAAAAAAAGTTCTCAACAAATGAATATTGAAGGGATTTATTTCCAGTAGACCTGCCTTGTAAGAAATGTTAAAAGTTCTTCAGAGAGAAGGAAAACAAAATAGGTCAGAAATTATGATCTATGTGAAGAAAAGAGCATCTATGAATAAGTAAGTGAAAATAAAATAGAAATTTTTATCTTCCTTAGAGTACATATACTTGCTAAGGGGAGAGAGAGAGAGAAAGAGAGAGATTGTAAGTGAGAAAGCACCTCTCCCCCACCATGGGGAATCATCATGTTGCATTTCTCCTTCCTTCCAGGACTTTGGGTATGCATGCATACAAGTCTGGCGTGTCTCAAACCACTGAGTTTTGGACTTAAACAGGATGGTCGGCCATGTAGGATCAGGTCACTTCAGTGACCAGGCCATAGGCTATTATTTTATTCTTAGTTAATCTAGTATATCACTTTAACAAATACTAACAGCAACAATATATTCAATTATATATACCTCTGTGTGTGTGTGTGTGTGTGTGTGTGCGTGTGTACACTTATGTATGTTTATGTATAGGTGAAACTAATGACAGCAATGATACAAGGGATAGGAGGGAAGAATTAGGGCTATTTGGTTATTATAAAGCATTTGCACTACCCATGGAATGGGTAGTTATTTGAACATATATTTGGATTATTTGTAAATGGGTAGTGTGAACTCTGGGGAAACCACTAAAAATGTTTAGAAAGAAGTATAATTGATATACCAAGAAAGGAGGAGAAATTAGTGTAACAGCTATGTTGCTGAACTTCCATGTAGTCAACCGTGGTTCAAGTTCTGGATCCAGCGGCTTAAACTCATGCTGGACGCATGTGCATGCATGCCCAAGATTCCGAGAGGAGAATGGAGGAAAAGGAATTGTGGCATGGCCATCCCCCTGGGGGATGATTTCTCACTTTCCATCTCTCTGTCTCTCTCTTTCTGGCGAGCACATGCGTCCTATAGCAAAAACCTCTCAAAACAAAACAAAACAAAACAAAAAACAAACAAAGAAACAAAAAACTACAAAATACAGAACAAGTGTGGGAGATGGAAATGTGAACAAAAACCAATAGTAACCAAAAAATAAAAAGTAACAATAGTGGATATTTTTCCAACTGTATCAATAATCACTATAAACACCATTAGTCTCAATATGCCAATTAAAAACAGATTAAAAAAAATTTAAGGACACGAAAATGGAAAATTATCTGATGAGGATAATGTGAATGGTAATATGTCTGACTGGACTAATAGGCAATGCATCACGTATTCATGGTGGGAAAATATTTTGTATGCTATAAAGATGTACAATAGTTAAATATAAAAATTTTTAAAAAGAGACATAGATTATTAGAGTGGATCAAAAATCAAGATCCAACTATATGTTGTCTATGAGAAATCTACTTTAAATATAAGGATACATATATATTAAAGGTAAAGAGATAGAGAAAGATATACTATTCCAACACTAAATAAAAGAAAGTAAGAGAAGCTATATTAATATCAGGTGGAGCTGACTTCAGAGCAAGAAAAGTTATGAAGGATTAAAGAGGGAGCATTGCATAATATAAAAGGTTCAATATTCCAAGAAGACATAAGAATCCTTAATGCATATCAACCTAGTAACAGAGCATCAAAATATGTGAAGCAAAAACTGATAGAACTGCAATGAGAAATAGATAAATCCACTATTATAGTTGG